AATTACAGGAGATGAAGTAAAAACTAACCAAGGTCTGCAATGCAGCAGCGCAGCTCCTTGGTCACCAGGATGTTTTTGCTCTTCAGGTCTCGGTGTGCAATGGCCGGTTTGCCCTCGGTGCCAAAGATCTCGGTGTGCAGGTGAACCAGGCCGTTGGCGATCGACGCCGCCATCGCCAGGCCCTCCGACGTCTCCACGGCAACTCGCTGCAGGTAGTCGTACAGCGAGCCGTTTTCATGGTACTGAGTGATGAGCCACAGCTGAGTGCTGGAGTTTCGAGAAGTCATGTCGGACGCCATAAATCCTGGGAGAAACGAGCAAACCGAACGAAAAACTTTGAGCACTTGATTCTTTCAACCGTCTGTTTTGGTTCGGTGGTTCAAGTTTAACTCACCAAGAATGTTCTCATGCCTTAGCAGCACGGTGTTGTAGATCTCCGTCTCCCTGAACCAAGACTTTTCGTCTCTGGAGGAGAAGATTTTCACGGCAACGTTCTCCCCCTGCCACTGACCGCGCCACACCTCTCCATATCGCCCCTTACCTGAAGCACAAAGAGTACTTTTTTTCTATTCAGGAACTATTCTTGGAAAATGGCTGAACGGAAAAAGTGGAAAAGCGGCCAACACTCAATTTATTAGGTACGGTAAACTCAATTTGTCAATAGCCGCATTTCCATCCTGGGGGGTTTTTTATGCGCATTTTGAAGAAACGTGTTAGAAAAGGTTGACGGAAACAGCCAAATTTAAAAAACACAAAATGTTTCCACACTCACTTGAAGTGGTTATTATTTTGACCAAAAATTTTTTGATTATTACAATGTTTTAATTTATATGTAGATATGTGGTGCTTTTTGTCACTGGAGTGAAAAAGTTACATGCATTCATCTGCTTGATGTGTGACGGCACGATATGGATTCTCTGTCTCATTTGCTAAATACTAATTAAACTGAATAATAATAGAAATGCATATATAAATATGTCATTTTTATTTCTAAAAAATGACGAGTAAAATTAAGAGTATGATGGATGTTTTTTTGGTCGCTTCTGTCCAAATTAATGGACAACAAAAGGTACCAGAGGCACAGACGTAGAAACTTTCTACATATCCTGATTGAGTCGCTTCAAACCAGTAGAAGGAAACACGGCTAATTTGAAACACGGCTGTTCAGAGAAGTCCACTTACCAACACACTCCACCAGGCTGATCTGCCTGGCTACAGTTCTCTGGACGAGGAAGGGAAGACCTGAACCACTGCCTGAAGTGCACGAGTGATCCAAAAGATCCTGCAGGAGAAAGGACGAGCAGATGCTCAAACTGAATCCTGTCCTAGTTCACTATTACTTTTTTTTTTCATTAATCTGTACAACTCTTACAGCTAGAGTGCTGTCTCCCACATTGGAGGTGATGAGACCATCTCCCTGCTCGGTGTCAAACTCTTGCAGCCTCTGGAGGCGGCCACGGTGGAGCCTCCTGCAGGCCAGCACCGACACCACAGACAGCAGGACCAGAACCACCACTGGGGCGAGCACGAAGAGAGCCAACGTCTCCACCCGGTACCGAACCGGTTCCCCTTCAGGGGCTGTGGGAAAACAGAGGAAAAAAAAAAAAGAGGAGAGGATGCTTATGAGAACCTCCGTCATCCGGTAAGGCGCTCGTTCAGATTCACGGTCTCGACTCCCTGCTGTCTGACCTGATATAAGAAGCGACATCAGGAAGCTCCTGGTGGTGTTCTCGTTGCACATGTGCTTGGAGCAGCAGTGGACGGCCTGGTGGAAGGACGGCGCCGTGAAGCACTGCAGTCGCTCTTTGAAGCAGCCGTGCTCCAGCAGCACCTCGCCGCCGCTCACTTTAATGGAGGAGAAGCACTGGGTGCCTCGACACTCTGGGGTCTGATGACATTTGGAGCCTTCGCAAAGACACATCAGGTGTCCTTCTGTAAAAGACATCAGGTTTAGTTCCAGCGCACAAAGAAGGGACTCAAATAATCCAAGGGAAAAAACCCTCTGCAGAAATAAATACTTTTATGTTTTAGAACACCTAAGCAGAAGGCCTCACATCTTCACCTGACATTACAGGAAAAGTGTCTTGTAGATATCTTGCAGTTTTCACATTTTGTTTTTCTTCCGCTTAATAATTAGGAGCCACTTTGTGTTGCTCCATCACATAAAATCCCACTAAAATGCATTAAAGTTAGCAGTTGTAACAGGACAAAATATGAAAACCCTTCAGTTTGGCTACATTTGCACACTAATGCATGAAAACCTTCACAGGTTAATGAAGATGTAAAAGAGTACCTGAGTCCTCAGCCGACGCCTGTAGAGCCTGCAGGAGGAGCAGCAGAAGGACGTGGAAACTGCCAAGATCCATGTTTCCCTTCGCTAACAAAACAGATGAAGAGATGCCAGAGATGGAGAGAGGTCAATGAGGACAGACGCAGTGTGCATAATCTCATTTACCGCCCTCTGTTCTCTGACGATCATGAATTCAGACAGAAAGAAAAGGACAGTTTAGAATTTTAGCGAACTTTCAGAGGCTCAGAGAAAACAAAAATCTCTAATTGATTAGACGAAGGGTAACATGAGGTCTGGCAGCCAAAGGCTGAATAGCCTGAGATATGAACGGTCCGTTTAAGCATCAAACGACTAGAATTGTTACAGAAGAAAATCAAAATGCAAGTTTGTCCTCTTTAAAATAAGATGTGAAGCGTCATGTTTTTAGATTTGGATTTAGAAATCGTGGGACAGACAAATGGGATCCAGCAAATTCAGGACAGGTGAGGACTATGCGAGTTACAGACACACACACACACCAAAAATACAATTACATAAACTTAGAAAGCTGTGCTAAAGTTCTGCAATAAGTATCACAGCTATATTTATTTATTATTTTGATCTTGGTACATAAAAAATGAATACCTGCTAAATATGAAACAGACTCTGAATGCTTCCTGCCCAGAATCAGCAAGTTTATTTCAATTTTCATTTTTCTACCTCAACCTGCAATAACTCCTTCACATGTTCTGAGCAAACACTGAACGGTCAGGAAAACCTTTGCTGCCTTTTAAGTGGGGATTTTAGCGAAATCCTAACTAATAGCCTCGAAAGAAACAAACTAAACACTACACGTACATACAGAACTCGTGTCTGATTGAAGACAAAACTAACTGATTCTTTGCGAATCAAATATTCTTTTAGTGAATGTTTTTAGGTACCAACAGGCATAAATAAGTAGAAATGATCAACAAATGTGATGCACATGCTTGATGCTTGATTAACCGTACATGCCTTAATTTCAGGATTCAACCAAGTTAATGGAAACTTAAATATTTTCTTTTTAAATTTTATTTTAGCTGCTCTCAACAAATATATTCTCAAGTAACAACACCCTTTTGCTAATTGAAGGGTCAATTACAAATCGATTAACTAACACGTATTCTAATAATTATGTATTGTACATTCCAGTGCAGCAAGTATGGAAACATTTTGAAATGTTCAACTATTAGAAGTACTAATACATTCGACAGTGGCATAATTTTACGGTGCCCTTCGCTTTAATCGTTTTGGCGCAGAAACTAGTTTAAAATGTTTATAGCTTACTTACTTCCAGTCTGGGCTAAGCCCCCCAGTGTTTACAGAATCTAGCATCGCGCCTGCATCAAATCGCAATACAAAAATGACTAAAATAGAACAGCTTTACCTCAAAGTATCATATTAATGCAGTTGAGCCGCTGATAAAGACGCTGCTCGCTGCACAGACTGGTTTTCAACCAACTTTAACAGATTCTCCGCAGTCAAGAGCAGCACAGAAGACGAAGATTTCCCCTTGGAGGCGAGTAGCTTAAATCCAATGACGAAACCTTCAGAGACGGATAAAGAAACGCCACCAGGATGTTTTTGACGGTAAAACTCAATAAATAGAGGCCTGCTGGTACGCTGGAGCCGTTCACCGACTGATTTATTGTCCGTCCACAGCCGCCTGAGAGGCGCCAGTCGGACAGGCTGTTAGCCCAGCGAGCTAAGCCATCTCTGGAGCACCGGGGACAGGAATGATAAAAAAACAAAAAACAACCACATACCTGGCAGAGGTGCGCCCTCTAACTCATTCTGGGAGCTCAGTGTGTCCACATACGAGGCTCAAATATTCATAGCCACGTTATCCGCAGCGTTGAACGGTCCTAAAGCAGGGCTCCAGCCCACCCACTGGCTGTTTTCGTCTCCAGACGTCACCAAAACATTATCACCGAGAAGCATTGTGGGGCAGCAGAGTCCTCCGAAGACAAGCTGGCACTTCACTCAGTTAAGACTGAATAGATAGCAGTTGATAACATGTTACTTAGCACATTAGAACACCAGCTCAGTTAAAAACCATGTTTGCAATGAGTCATACTGGTCTCGTGGATTCGGATCGTTTTTGTTCGGCTTAACTAAAAAGAGCCGATTTCTTCTCCTCTCCAAAGGCTTAGCATTTGCTACAAACTCCAACATGCACTGACTGTAGATATTTCGTTAAGAAGCGAACATACATGGATTTGCAGTGTTTTGCAAAGCCACATGCGACAAGATAACACACAAGTTCAAGCTGAATTGATTAAATTATGTTCAGAGTTCACCACCTGAACTGCAATCTGGCATCTGAACGCTGACCACTGTGAGAAAATCACTATGATTGAACTTCCTAGTTTGATATGTCATTATGGATCACATCTTTATTGACGTTTTAATTTGTTTTGGATGTATTATGAGCTCTCTGTCTAACTTTACGTCTCTGCTTTTTAATTGACAGAGATAAATAATGTTTTGAACTGAATTGAATTAACGGCATTAACATGTTATATATCCTATTTAGTGAAAAAGGTTAGTCTTATGATCGGAATATTTACTGAATTAAAATAATATGAAACTAGATTCATATTCTGGGGGTTGATAAATGACAATAAACTATTTTAAATACCATACACACCAACTCCTCTAGAAGGAGCCCTGACATTTGTGATAAATGATATGAAAGCATTGCACTGATAATGTGAGAGGTGAGCAATAATTTCAATCTATTCTGTATTTAGAAACAGGTACAGACTTCCATAAATCACTACACTCTTGGTGGATGGTCTGAGCATCAGCTCAATTTCCTTCCTCCTCTGTGAAAGAAAAGTTTAATTCTGTAAAACAAAAACCCTTTGTAATCCGCAATGCTAGATCTCCACTCTCTTACCGCTTCCTTTACATACATTGCTCGATCTTCCTCAACAAACACTGACTCTACCATCCACGCTGAGCAAAAGTCATGCCTGAATACTGAGATCAGAGCTTAGAAGAACCGCATCTTTTCGCGTCTGTCTTCTTCCGCAGATGCTTTGATCACTTCCATTGCTCACTTTGAAGCTTCCAGAACCTCTCCTAACACCAGACCCACCCAGCTGAACAGCCTCACAGCATAACTAATAAGAATAATAGTTGGCTCTCTGTGAAAGCTGCATGCCTGGACAACGTCTGAGGCTCTGTCCTCGAAGACACCCCACACCCGCTGCAATAGGTACTGATTAAAATGTTATGCATATTTTCTCTCCGGAAAGATTAAAGCTATAATTGTACTTGAAATGTGCCACTATTCTCCCCCTTTCCAAACGCATCTTCAGCGTTAGCAGTTATAATTGCATGGTGGCACTTAAAAGCACAAATCTAAATACGTAGAGACAAAACTTAAACTAAGTATATGTAAATATATAAAAATATACTCAAAACATGAAGTTCGGTCTTCAAAGCAGCAGAACATTTTATCAATCCAACAAATTGTATACAATGTAAATTTCAGGTTTAAGTACTCACATTTAAGTCTAAAAGTTTCTGAGGTTAGAAAAACAGCAGCAAACTGGTTTTAGCGTTTCTTCATCCCTAAATCAGATTATTTATGTGTAGTGGAGGAGTGTTGGGTATGATTCACTGTTACAGCTTAAGGCAAAAAGCTGTGACCTGTCCTGTAGTTCCAGCTACATGAACAGTGTTGCATTTTGCCTCATGTGGGTGAGCTTTTACTGACTAATGCGTAAAACGCTGCTTCGCAATGACTAAAACCTCGAGGAGCGATTCCTTGTTGACCACTTTATTGAACAGCGCAGACGAGGCTAAGACAACAGCAAAAGTCACTGGAGTTTGCCAGGATGTAAAGCGCTGCACTTTGAACTAAGATCCAATAGATTCTCTCATTTCCTTCTGAATCGGTAATCACTCATTTTGTGATTCACCAACGTATTTGTGCTGACGCGATGCACCGGGTCAGATTTAGCTGTAATTGTTGCACAACGCTTGCATGACAGGCACACTGTAAGTCAATGAGACAATGGTGAATAATTTATGTAAGAATTTTCGATTCAAGAAAGACACGTTATGTGTATTAGCTGATTAAATTGTTGACGACGTGTAATCAGACCTGGTTTGAATGGGGAGTCTCCAGTTTAGCCTATAAACTACCATAGTCCTTCTGACCCCCTTTATTTCATCAATGCTTGGTTTTCTGGTTTGTTTTTTGTTTTTTACTGTTAATATTTTTACGTTCTTTCATACCTGTATTGAACATAACTTGTAGAGTTACCGTAAGAACCAATGATAAATTAAATTGGCTATATGCTAATGTGCTTTGATAAAATGATCTATAAAATAATTATATCAAGGTTTCCTGAGCATAGGAGATAAATAGATTAGTTATTCACTGAATGAGGCATTTGTATGTAGAATTAATTTAATACAATTTGAAAGAAGGTTCAAATTTACATTCTGCACATTTTCAATTAATTTAAACAAGACACTTCAGTTCCAATGGTATCAATGACATCAACAGTTATGACATCACTCTATGAAAGGCAGACGTCCAATCATCCAGAGACGTCCCAGGAAAGACACACCTCCATGCAACGAAGGAGGTCCAAGGAATGCCATACACCCATGCAACCAAGGGTCTCCATGCAAAGACCTACACAAACAGGGGATCACAGAAACATGAATGTTAATGCAGTTAGAGGTCCCGATGAACACAGAAGACATCCAAACAGAGGCCATTACGCCAACTCAGACTACACAAACCCAGGTTATGCAAACTCAGGTTATGCAAACTCAGGTTGCCCAAATATAGGTCACTATACAAACTCAGGTTTTGCTAATACTGGTCACTATGGAAATGCAAGGCTTTACACAAATCTAGGAAACCAGAAAGGACACAGGCCTCAACGCAAATAAAATGGGTAACTCCTAAAACAATGGAGAAAACACAATAAACACAAAAAATAACTAAACAAGATCAATTGCAGAATTAAAAACAGCATAACAGGCCTTATCACATTGGTCCTATATCAAAGCAGCAGTAGGTAAATTTTATTAAAAAAAAATTTTACATTTTGATTGTGTGGGCTACGCAGTGGTGCAGTTGGTAACATTGTTGCCTTGCAACAAGACAGCAACAGTGCTTAGAGATATCAATTAGAAAACCAGAGCACCCGGAGAGAACCCACACATGATCAGCGAGAACATGCAAACTCCATGTTCAAGTCTGACGCTAAGTCTTGTCATGTTCTCCCTGATCATGTGTGGGTTCTCTCTCCGGGTGCCCTGGTTTCCTAATTGAGCTCTCTATACTGTCCTTAGGTATGAATATTTTATAAAAGTGTCACAATACAATAGTATTTTACATATAACTCTAACCAACACTAGTCTATTCCCAACTGTAACTAAAACTTAATTGGAACCCCTGACCCAAAACAACGACTCCACTGTAATGTAAGATTTGGTCCCCATAACGCCAATCAGTGTTCAGAAGGTTAGTAAATATATTCAAGAGAGGTATGTAGAACAGCTAAACAAGTACACGCAAACACACACACACACACGCACGCACACACACACACACACATGCACATGCCTACACACAGGTGTTTGGATTCAAGTATTTACAGATGCACTCTATTTTGAATTGTGGTTGCTATTGTATACTTTTCAGTGACGTTATTCAAGCATTCAATCTCTCTCTTTTTTTTTGGCAGTGCAGAATAACTTCACTGAAAGCATGCAGAAGTAACACAAGAGGTATTTAGCAGGAACTGCAATTCAAAATAGAGTGTAACTGTAAATACTTGAATCCAAACACTAATAATAATAATAATAATAATAATAATAATAATAATAATAATAAATAAACAAACAAACTTCTGAATGAAAATAATTAAGCAATTAATTACTAAATTAATTAAGTAATTTGTGACACTGGTTAAGTGTCACAAATTAAGACACTTAATCAGTGTTGCGGGAAAAGTGACGTGACCAGTCACGTAAAGAAAAAAAAAAAGCAATGTGATTCTAATCACGCCAGTGTTGAAGTTCTGCTTTGGAAGTCGACACCCTAAAAGTGCTGCGATGGGTCCAGCAGGTTTACTTGGATGTGTAGAGACACTTTGATGAAGTAGATCAGCGCGCAGTTGTGGTCATAATCACCACTGGATGTTTGAACGGGAACCAGTCCAACCAGAAGATGAACGGCTGGTTATCAGTAAAAAGTGTTTTAGTCCCAATTACATAATCACAGCTCAAGCGCGCTGCTTTCTCGCAAGGCATGTGGCTTCTTCCCCCAGCATCTCTTTCATAAACAGCACAACGTAGTCTACCCGCAGCATCATAAACAACATCATAAAGATGTCACGAAGGCGTCACGAGGTTTTCCTTTTTTTTTCTTTTTCTTTTTAACCCAAAACAGAGTTCATTAGGCCAGTCAGACGTTGCTTTTCTTTCTCCTGTGTCGCCACTAGATGTCACCAAAACGAAGCTGTGACTGAATGAAGCCTCTCAACCCTCGGAGGTGGAACAATCTTTTCATTATTTCGATTTTGATTACATTCACCTTTGTTTGTTTCTTTGTTGAGATGCTTTAAATCTGAACAAGGGATTAGATTAGAGGATTTTTTCCTAGCTGATTAACAACAAGAAAACGCACAGTAGATCCAAAAGACAAGGTCAAATCAAGACAGGAATGATTCAGCAGACAGACACTGAATCAACCTTCGACTAAACTCATCTCAGAACCCAGATTTAATCAGAAATCTGGGGAGAGGGTTCGCTACAGACTTTCCTGCTAAATACTTAAACTAAGGGCTTGATATTTCTAATGTTTTCAGGGTGAGATTACGCTACTACGATAAATTGCTAATTTATTTCAAGGTTTTTACACATCGTCACTGCGAGTAAATGTGGAGGAATATTACTCTCCGTGTTTCTATCGGTAAGCTTTGCCCCTCTTTTGCCAAACTACTGCAGGGGAAGGAGTGAAAAGAGCTGCAGACGTAGAGTTTCACCGTCTCACCGTTGCTTATATAGCAAGTCACCTCAATCCTTACACCTGTCCTCCCCCCCCCCCCCACTGCTTCTAAGATATTTGTTTCAGGAAAGAAAGTTCAGGTGGTTCCTGCTGAATGCCAGATGTATCAAGATAATCTGTGTTATTTTTTTTTCTTCCTTTTTGTTACCTGGCAGAGCTCATAATGTTATGTCACTTAGTCTGATTTGACTTTAACAGAATTCAGAATCGCTGAAACATTTTATCACAGTACCATACTCTATAAACTGTTAGGAGTCTCAGAATAAATACTGTATTTTAAAGTTCACATTCTTCCTGTTCTGTTTGCAACTTTCAGACCCAAATTTGCAGACAGAAATGTGAATAAATGTTTTATCATGGAAAAAAAAAAAAAAAAAACACCACAAATTTCGAATTTCACCTATAAATAGGCCCGATTTTTATTTGATGACATTATGCTGATCCTGGAAATTCTTGAGTAATGCAATACATTCTTTTTTTAAAAAATTAATAAATCCAACATTATTTTGGCTATAGCGAAGAAAGCCTGTTCAAAATTAATAAAGATAGAAGAATGTTTTAGTGTAGTTGGCAAGGGTCACATACAAATAACAATAACGTAACGGCTGTTGCCATGGAGTCCTTGAACCTACAGGAGTGAATCAGTCTTAACGCCTAACATTCAATTAAACAAACTCTGTCGGTGAATTCAGTAAAGGTCCCAACTATTCGTTTTTTTTTAGAGCTGAGGTTTGACTAGTTTTGGACCTAAATACAGCTTGCGTGCAAGAATTTCCAAACTCCCATTTATATTTGAAAGTATTCATGCGGTGAGATCACAGCAGCTCCTGGAATTGGCTGTGATCGCTGACGTAGATGACAGCGATGGTGGTTAAAGAGGGAAGTAAGTGCCCATGCAGGGTGAATGCTGATGTTAGCGAAGATGAAATAAGGTCCAAAAGACACGAAGCAGAGCAACATTTTGTAGGAAAATAGAAAATGAGCCCTGTGAGGAGATGAGAAATCTCAACAACTATGCAGATGTAAATGAGCTGAATGTGTTCATCTGGACTTTACTTCTGATGTTCAGTTTTTAATTAAGACGATTTTGAATGGATAAGAGATGCTTTGTCCTTTTTATGTGAAGTTTCAACTGTTTAATTAGAAAAAAATCTATCTTTACTTAGTAACCCATCTAAGCCAAAGTTATTTCAATTTGTTTTCATTTTAGGATAAATTTAGTTTTTAGCAAGCTATCACAAAGGGAAACTTTTTCCCTTTTCTGTAGCAGAATTCAAATTAAACATAAAAAATAGACAGTTTGACAGGTATAATCCAACAAGTTGATTTCTAAAGGTGTATTGGCAAAATAAAAACTTGGGATATAGTGAATGTTGTGTGTGTGTGTGTGTGTGTATGTGTGTGTGTGTGTGTGTAGGTGTGTGTGTGTGTGTGTGTGTGTGTGTTTGCGTGTGTGTGTGTGTGTGTGTGTGTGTGTGTGTTTGTTGCAGTCAAAACAAGAGGCAGATTACTGTAAAAATATCTTCCAGTGATTCTTCTCCAGGGGAAAAAAAGCAGTCTTGGGTGTTTTTGTTAGGATGCAGTATATTACAACCTTATTCCAGTTAAATGTGCTGTTCACTGGTAAATTATGTGCACCATCACACGCCTTTGATTTTATTGGTTAAATCAGGATCTGGTTGTGTTGCTGCTAATACAATCTCTTCTTCTATATGTCCCTGTTGCTCAAGTTAAATTCATATTTTCCCACTTTACAACAAACTTCATCCATTTAAATCTGAATTTTATGTCATGCAGAGCATGTTTTTTTTTTGTTTTTTTTTACAAGTTCACAAATATTACTTTGTGAAGCCTCCAAATCAATTTCACCTCAATAAAACAGAATATTTAACCTGATTTAATCTGATCTGAGTAGAAATGCAGCGGCTCGCTGAAGGGACCAGACGTTGGTTAGAGAACATTAGAGAACAAGCCGAGGAACATGGCAGACGGATCAGAGAGGAAACGGAGGAGAAGCAACAAGGACTCCCTTTGTGGAAAGAAAGTGGGAACGAGCCAAACATGGTGGGGGGGTGGAGTTGATCCGGTCAAATGAAACCAAACTTGCACTTTATGGCCCAAATGCGAAGTGCTGTGTGAGGCGGAAATCTAAAACACAACACATAACTCCAAACACAGCGTAGTGAAATATGGTGGCAGCAGCATAATCCTGACACAAAGTAACTCTGGAAACCCATTTACTCTTTTGACTGTAAAATGACTCGTTTGCCAGCCAGAAGCAGCCATTTGTGAGAACGTGAAATAAACCGAGTGAGTCTGTGTGTGTTTAAAACAACGCAGGTGCAGGTTGACTGCTCCTGACAGCGGCTGATGACGGACGGGAGTAAGTAGTTAAAGGTTGGAAATAAACAGAGAGCTTTGCATTGTGACAGTGACATGAAATAATGATTTGAGATTTGGCAGCTAATGTTGAAATATGATAGAGATAACCGTTCTTATCGGGAAGCGGTTTGTCACGCAGTTTTAGGATTTCCTCTCTGCATTTTTCCGTTTGTGTTTTTTTTTTTATAAGGCCAAACAAAAGTACCATCCAGATTGTTTTTACTTCAAGACGGTAAAACAATCACCTAGAAGTAGTTTTTCATTAAGTATGATTGAGTACGAATGCTCAGTAAAGTGAGAATATAAAGTGAAGTACTCAAATGCAGAACTCTTACTTGTCAGTTTAGCAAATTTCTGGTGGATCACGCCCTATTTTTTTAGACACCACACTAGAAATGATTCTGCCCTGGTTTTGAGTCAACGAGAACCTTTGAGAATGCTGAAACCGGGCTGCGGGACAGAAAGACGTCATTTTGTTCTTCCAGGCCTGGAAGGGAGAAAACAAACCTCTGTGTTCTTGTGGAGTATTTATAGGCCGTAAATTGTTCCCGAGGGCCAGATGAGCCTTTATGTCCTGAGCCAATGCTGTGGGGAAGCTTTTCTTCAGTAAGGACTGGGAAGTTAAATGGAGCTAAACAGAGAATAAACCTTGAGCAGAACCTGTTGGGAGCTGTAAAATACCCTCCACTTGGGGGGGAGTGGGTGGAGGTTCACCTTCCAGCGAAACAGTCGCCCTAAACACAGAGGTTTAAATCAAAGCAATTCCATGTGGTAGAACGGCCCAGTCAAAGTTCAGATCGAAATCCAATTGACAATGGGCGGGAATGGCTTGAAAACTGCTGTTCAGAGACCAGCTCCACTTATTCCAGCAGGACTCAAGGTATTTTGGAAGCATTTACTGGAGGCCTGCTGCTGCGACTGCTGCAAAAACACCTTCTAAATCTCCATGAAATTTAAATTGCATCTAAGAAAAAAAAAAACTGACCCAGAAGATTCGGTTTTGTATTCCTTCCCAACAGATTTACATAGATTTATATGGGTTTTTATGTGGCTGGATGTTGTTAGATGTGAATAAAAGACAGACAAATGGTTTAATTTTCTGCAGTAGGTGATATGCGTTCCCTTCTCTGGGTCTGCTGGGCATGAACAACGGCAGACGCTGTTTGTTCTTGCTTTCTTGGAGCTGTGTACTCTGGTGAGTCGGAGCAAGACCTATTCGGTATCTATTCTCCACGAACACCGCTCCGGCACAAAGATGCATTGTCCGCTGCTTTTTTTTTTTTCTTTTCTTTTTTTTTCTTTTAATTAAAGACCCCTGCTCGAGTCTCTGTGCCAGGTGACCTGAGCTGCTGCGATGACATGAGCCAACCAGCATGGTGTCTACGGGGCTTAAATCTCTGTGGATAATTGGAGGAAGAAACACTACACCACTATCGAGAGATGGAGGTAAGGATTATCTGATGAGGACTTAGACTTAAGAGTCAAGGATGGAGGAATAATATGATGTTTTCTTCTCTCTACATCCAATCTCCCTATGACATTCCCCTGCTTTATACCCCCTCTCTCTGTGGCGAGGTTACGCGAGAGGGAGGAGGCTGAATTATTTTTTCTAACCAATGAATCCCACCTGGTCCTCATCTCTGCTGAATTACAGAATCATTCTGAAGCCGGTTTCAGACCAGAGTCGACATGGAGAGAAGATTCGCTGCGACCTTCCTGCTTTTGCTACCTCTTCTGAGCGTCGACTGCGTCTCCAATCAGAAAACCACAGGTACGCCAGTCGAAGGCTCTCGGGGAACATTTGTTTCTAGAGAATACAGACATTTTCATGTGATCTTGCTTTGGATGGGGAGAAAAAAATAAAAAATCTTCTCTGATTCAGTCTCCTGGTGTGTGCTATCGGACGCCGAGGAGCAGAAGTGCCTGGATTTAGCCGGCAATGCCACGGCCAGGAATGTGAGGGGATCGCTGATGTGTGTCCGCGGACTGAGCACCAGAGACTGCATGGAGAAAATCAAGGTGCACAAAGACGGAGATGGGATACCTGTGCTTTACGAACCATTTCTAGCTCTGTGCAAAATACGCAGCAACAATTTTGACTGAATTCTTTAAATATCATTTTCGGTTTTCACAGTGTGGTGAAAAATAACACTGCAATACATATGCAATAAGATGTTTTATTTTATTTTTTTTTATAAAAAACAAAATAAATTATAAATCTGATATTATTTTTGCATTTAGTTATTAGTTGTATGTTAGTAGGATACATGAAGGCATCTCTGTTTTCTCAGAACGGCACAGCAGATGCAGCTTCGATGTTTGCAGATGATATCTATGCTGCGGGTCTCTGCCATGGCCTGGCGCTTGCAGCAGGAGAGTCTCATAATGGAGTAGGTAGGTAAGCCACGTGTTGGAGCACTTAGTACAATTAGCTCACTAGGGATTTTTGCCCGATTATATCAACATTTATGTTTTCCAGTAGAAGAAGAACATTTGCCAGAGATGCACTGATCAGGCTTTTTCTGGACGATAACGATTTCGACTTTGGCCAGTTTGATTTATTTTTATAGTAAGGATTTTTTGGAAGTAACAGGCAGATTTGTTGATTGGGGTGGTACTTTAGATCTCAACAGAAACTTCAGAACGTCTTTTTATCCAAGAGCGTGTCTCCAAAAAATATATTAAATTGATATTTAACTAAACCAAGTGCATGCAAGTTGATAACTAATGTGTTTGCAGATTAAAAGTGGTGTGTGATTTTTTTAATTTGATGCATTTAACACATTTTTCAATGCAAAACCAGCTAATTACAATCTTTGCCTCATCGATTGGTTTCTTAACGCGTGTCCGACCGCCTTATTCCAGACGGAATCAGCTACTATGTGGTGGCAATGGCCCGGCGCTCCTCTTCAGACCTGTCCTTGCTGGAGATGCATGAGCGCAGCTCCTGTCACCCCGGCATCCGCACCACTGTGGGCTGGACGGTTCCCATCGGCTACTTGGTGAACACGTCCCAAATCAGCGTAGGAGAGCAGTGCAATTTCCCCAAAGGTGAAGCCGAGCGTGACGGCCGCGCACGGCTGTGTGTGTTGATGTACGCTGATGCGTGGAAGGTATTTGAGAGGTCCGGAGGCAGGAAGTAGGGGGAAGCAGAGAGGTGGGAATGGATGGAGGTGGGATGTGGAAATGTGGGAAAGAGATGAAACACTCAAAAACACTCTGAAAGAACAGAACAGGAAGATTTAGTTACCAAAAAACACTGTGTCCTCATTGTGTATTTTTTCTTGGACTTTAGTTTAAATGTAATCACATAACAATAAACATGCAGCTGCTTTAGTAAGATACTTTAAATGGCAAATACTGATAACTAATTTGACATAAGAAAAACAAAACAAAACAAAATATGCAAAAACATTTGCTAGTGTCTAATTTCAGCTGACTTGTCCTCCGTTTCTCCTGCCAGTGGTGGGGAACTTCTTTGGTTACAGCTGTGTGCCCGGCATTAAGGATCCTCTGCATGATCCCAGAGGCAACAACCCGAAGAACCTCTGCGAGGCTTGCATAGGAGACGAGAACGACAGACACATCTGTGCCAACAATCACAGGGAGAGACATTACGGAGAGGCAGGGGCCCTGAGGTACGACTCCTTCACCAATAGCCCACTAACAACACCTGGAGTCGAGGTATTTGATCGTCTATGTCCGATAGAACCACTGGAATCTGAAAAAATTTGCCTGCTGGGAAAGAAATAGCCTTGCTCAAAAAGGCAAACCACAAATTAGAGGTACTTGTATAAGAAGGACGTTTACCCATAGGCTTTGTACGAACTTTTAACATAAAAGCACTTGTGTTTTATAATATAAGCTATACAATATGGAGAACAAACAAAATCAGTTCTACGCACTTACGTACATTATGAGGCATTTACATTGCACCGCATCCAAATGCTATTTTGGTTCATTAGATGTTTCTTCATAATATCCTGGTATTTCAGGGTTTGTTGGGTTTATTCAGCGAATAGAAACAGGCCTGCATCGTCCCAGATGCTCCTCCCCATACCTTACAGTTAGCATGATGTAGTTTTCTATACACTGAAGCCAAATCCAGCTGGATTCCTTGTAGTCAAAAGTTGTAGGTAAATTATCAGAAGAGTTAAGGGAAATCCACATCTTCATGTTTGTGATGGTAGGACAGAAAAGTCTATTGTTTTAGCGACACGTCTGGACTTGTTGCTTGTTGTAGGTCATAGAGAAAAATACTTATCACCTCCCTTACTATTCCTATTGAATTTGAGAGCCAAATAAAAGTCTGGTTATGTGTTTTTTTTTTCATAGGTTAAGTGGATTTAACTGTTTTTCCCCTCTCAGGTGTGTTGCTGAGAACCTCGGTGATGTTGCATTTGTCAAACACACAACAGTCTTCGACAATTCAGATGGTAAGAGCAAAAACAATTTCTTGAATGTTCCACAATAGACAAGTGGTGATGAAACACTGCTGGTGTTTGCCTGAATCCAACTGGGCTTGTAGTACCCAAACCAGACACAAGATGTCACTGTGGCACAAAGCATTTCTGCTTTTTAAAACTGTGTGCAATCCAGGATAAATGAGAAGATTTCACTGAAATTCAACGAGGCACATCAGTATGTCTCCCTGTGAGATTTATAAAGACAGAAAGATGGATGTAAAACAGGAACTAAAAAAAAAAAGAAGAGAGAAATGATATCATAACAAACAGATGTCCATGCATTTTTCTGTCCAGCAATAGCATCCTAATTCTCAGCTTGGTGCATCTGCTGCTTTGCTTTGGGCAACATCCAAAATTAATGGTGATCATTATCACAGTCATGCTGCACAGACTCTGCTGGTAGACGAGAAGGAGCAGCTTGGCTCTGGCTCCACGAACACTGCAGCTGTTTAACGAAGCTTGCTGCATCATATGCTTTAGAAAGGTCCAGAGTGGCACCAATTAGGGCAGGTCAGGAGAGCACAGAAGGCCTGGGCTGATGTCTAGGGAGAAGTCAGCATCAAGGTGGTCTACCTCTTTTTTACAAAAACATCTGTTTGGATGTGGAAAGGTAAAATTTTTTTAGGATTAAGAAGGCAAATTGGAAATGTTGCACTCAGAACACGGATCTTGATCAGCAAGAAATATAATTGTAAATATGTTCATTTACCAGCATTTCCCGCTTTTTTAAAAAAGAAAACTAAACTCAGTTTTGCTCTCCTTTTGGTCAGGCAAGAATCAGGAATCCTGGGCCTTGGACTTGGAGCTGGACGACCTCAAGCTGCTGTGTCCGGACGGGACAGAGGCGGGTCTGGATGAGTATCTGCGGTGCCACCTGTCAGACATCCCCGCCAACGGCGTCGTGGTGCGCGTGGAGGACAAGTGCCGCGTCTGGAAATACCTGGAGCGTTTACAGGTAGAACACATCAGCTACCAGTGATAGTTTGTGTTACGCCCCCAAAGGCACTCGCCAGCCACTTTATGGGGTGAACCTGTTCAATTGCTTGCAACAGAATTAACGAATAAGCCAAGCTCCATGGCCTCAACTCAAAGCATTTTGAGTCTTATGTGATGTTGAGGACTTGCTGGACTTGAAACTGAGCATCAAAATGGGAAAGAAAATGGTTTCAGATTCATGGAAATGGGTCAGAAGAGAGAAAACATCTCTCGAGGAGCAGCTGTGCGGATGAAAATGCCTTGTTGAGGTCAGGGGAGGCTGGTTTGAGATGCTAATGCAACAATAACTCAAATAGCCAATCATTTCAGCCATCTCTGAATGCACAACATGCTGAAGGTTGAAGCAGACGAGCCACTCTAACAAAACATCCTAATAGGTGCCACTTGTGTAATTTAAGAAGAGAAAAACAAGGCCAAATTTTGACCAGTCTTTAAAAAGTTGGACAATGACAGACTGGTTTGGTCAGATGAATCTGGATTTAACATGCAGGTTAGGTCGCCTCTAGTCTTAACCACAGGAATCCTGGAATCCAATCTGCCTTGTGACAGCAGTTAAGACTGGAAGTGTTTTCTTATCACACTTTGGGGCCCTTGTTACCAACTAAGCATCATTTAAGCTCCACAGTGTTGTTGAGTGTTGTTGCTGACAATGCCCTTCCTTTGTGACCAGAGTATCTATCTTGTGATAGCTTCTTTCTGCAAGATGTCACAAAACTTAAATCATCTCAAACCAGTTTTTAGATAGTTCATTATCACTCCAATTGGCCTCTACAATTTCTGGCCCACAGATCTGTAGCAGCTATCAGGTCTGAAATCTCTGTTAAATCTATGAGATTTAACTAGTTAAACCTCAGCAACACTGAGGTTTAACTAGTAATGTGACCAGTGGGTGTGTATAAATCTCCAGAGTGAATATCATCGCTCTGTGCTGCTCGCTGTGGAGATCCTAGCAGGGAATCCTCTCTCCTCCTTCCTTCCTCGCAAGAGAGTGTGTGTCAGACTGATACGTCCTGCGCCATTCCTCCAGCTGCACATGCCCTCAATCTCACAGCCACACATGTTCCCTGAACACGCCAACGCACATCCATGCATGCCCTCATGCATTAAGTGCTGTCACACGCTGTCTCTCCTGCAGAATGTGTTTGGCAACGCCACCGAGGGCTTCAGCCTGTTCAGCTCGGCGGGCTACGGCCAATCCGATCTGCTGTTCAGCGACGCTACCCACCACCTGCAGAGAGTTCTGGGTAGTTACACCTCTTGGCTGGGCCCCAGTTACACCGCCATACTGCAGGCCTTCGAGTGTGAGGGTAAGAGTGATGATGTCCGCCTATTCGCCAGTGTGCACAATCGGGTTTATGTGGGTTTGCTTATGAGGAGTGGGTGGCTAAGTGGCTGGATAAGTGTTTTCTGCTTTTTATATGTGCGTGTGTGTGTGTGCGTGTGTGTGTATCCACTGCAGCTGCTCTCATTACTGCTCTTTTCCACAAACAGGCTTCTGCTGATGGAAGAGGGGGAAGATACCCAGCGCATCAACTTCCACCCCATCCTGCTGTCTCCAAGCTAGTGTTCTGCCTTCCCGCCCTGCCATCTGTGCCCCTCTGCTTTAACACCATTTTCTTTTTTTTTTTCCTATTGCTCTGCATTTTATATTTGTTTTGTTCCTGAATTTCGCCACCCATCTCTCTCATTTTAGTCATTGTCCTTCACTAACTTGGTGTGTTGTCCAACAAAGCCAAAAACCGGCTAATCAACTTTTAAAAACTCTGTAAAACAAGATGGGGGGGGGGGGGGAGGGGAACAAAATATAACACAATTGGGTAAAAATACATGATAATAATGTAGAATGTAATAGTTATGGTACCCGTGGTAATTACAGATGATTTCTCTTCATTTTTTAAATCAAAAGTTCAAACAGTAACCATTGAGTTTGACCCTCAGAAACCATCTGAACACCTTAAAAACATCCTGCCAAACTGTTTCACTCCTGTGTGTCTGCTGGGGAATTACAGCCTTCTTAGTCCAAAGCTTCAGCACCACCACCCTCCCACCTCCTTCTCACAGGGTCCGCCTCTGGCACTGAACAACTGGGTGCTATTAACGTTGACATTAGGAGTCTCAGTTACTGTATCAGTGTGTGTGTGTGTGTGTGTGTGTGTGTGTGTGTGTGTGTGTGTGTGTGGGATTGAGAGAAGTACGCACTCTTTCCCACAGCCATTATTGCCCTAATTGGCAGTATGGTGTATTTTATATCGCTGGTGTGTGACAGGAAGAAATGTGTGTGTGTGTGTGTGTGTGTTTATGTGTAGAGTTGCTTCTCTCCCATGGCTTGTGTAGCTCGCCGTTTTGGATCAGCGCTTTCTCACGTCTGGCATGGTGGGCCGCACCGTGCCAGCACACTGTGTATTGTAACGCTATGCAATTTGGAGGGAGAACGTTGAGGCTTGCGTCGCCTCTATTGCCCCGTTAGGGATTCTTGACTGAAATAAATTTTTTCATTACTTCGCATCATCAAGATTTCCTCAGTTTTACTCTTCAAAATGTGCCTGCTTGTTTTTCTTTCTTTCTTTTATTTTTTCCTTTCAAAATTATGAAGCCCTTCAAGCTTTTCCACATTCTGACAAAAGGGTGCCCACAAACTTCAATGGGTTTTATTGGGTTCTTAAGAGGAAAACCAATAAAATCACTGCCTATTTATGAAGTGGAAGGAAATTTAAACAAACAAAACAAAACAAAACAAAAAATCTGTAAAGAGTATATTTGTATTCCTGGGATCAATTTGTTGCAGAAGACTCTGCAGTTAAAGCTGGGTATGTTGAGCTTCCTGCCGTTCTTCTTTTCAACTTGGCTGAACCGCAGTCAGACCAGAAGGAAAGCGTCTGTGAACAGCAAGTTTTAGGTTTTGATTCAGCGTCCCAGAGGGTGGCACGAATTCTTCAAACGAGAAAAGTCGTCCATATTTGTTGCACCTTGAAACCAGATTTCCTTTCCTCTTTGGCATGACTAGTTGGTCGGTGGGCAGGGATTGTGCCTCCCGATCAGTTTTTCTGTCACAAAAAAACACTTGTGCAACAGCCAGAATGATCACATTTAGACTTTGACCAGCTTTCCTCTCGCATCTCCATGAAATGACACCGCCACCACCATACCTCACAGGAGAGATGTCATTTTAAGGCGCGGTGTTGGTTTTCCAACATACATTTTGTTTTTACAAGTTGGGCCAAAAACAAAAAGTTGACATAGGTATTTGACAAAACAATCTCATTACAGAATAACTGTATTTATTCTGAAATGTGCTGAGTAAAAGAGACAGAAATTGGTGCCACACATTTTGAATTTGTATTGTATCTGTCATATAAACTTATAATAAGCTAAAGTTTGCCATTGCATTATAATAAAACAAGGAAAAGTTTGAGAGGTATGAGTAATTTGTAGCTGAATGTTAGAGCTGAAGGAGCTGCTTACACGACTGCGCTTTAGGCCGGGTTTGACGCTCAATATTAGTCGGTTAAGATCTTTTTGGTGATCATTTGTAATTCTGGTTACAGAGTAAAGACAGTCAAGTTTGGCAACTGCAGATAAAATCACTTACCACTTTTTATAGCTGCGTGATCTTCTGGATCCTCTTCTGCAAAAGTCGGAACGGTCAATAAATTTCAGCCTTTTAAGTGTCGCCTGCTTTTGTGTCCCACACCGCTTCCGACATAAACTGGGCGAGGTTCTTCCCATCGGACTGGGCTTTTTGAAGTCTCCTTGCGTGAAGCACTCACAGGTGGTCCATTGGCAGGATTTTCAAAGAGCTCTGTTTTCTTTCGACTTGGGTTTTTATCATTGGTGCTTTTTATGCCACTGCTTTAAACAAGGCTTAACGTAAATAAGTCACCTGTGCCTGACTGTGTAGAGCTGCAAACTTCCCCTTTTTTCAACCAATTAAATGATGATGAAGAATAATTCTCCCTTCGTTTTGTGTCAACTATTCCGCGCAATCCCGATTTGCCTGAAAACAAATGATCCTTCTTGTTTATCTCACACACACATGCGCGCACACACTCAAGGTTTCACTGGTAAATCAGGGACAAAACCATTATCATCAGTGATCCCAGCAAAAAAAAACAGACCTCTTTCTAGAGACCCAATACGCCTTCTGGCAGAGCTTCACCTCATTTACAATATTAATCCTATAGAGAAAGCCTCCACATGATGGAGTGGAACCATTTAGCAATGACCAGATACTGTAGATTGAACTGCACTGCAGCAAAATGCTGCAATCACTCTCCTTGGATCTCCTGCTGCTCCCCTTCTTAGCCATAACGCTACGATAAAATCACGAACAGAACAGCCTCGGTGCAGCCCAAGTTCTCAGCTGAGAATAATTAAAGAGTTATAAAAAGTGTAGATTTGCATGCTTTTTTTTATTGCAACAATCTGAGATATTAAAGAGGGTGGTAGCTTTAAACAGCAGGACACACAGCTAGAACAAAACAACAATAATGGAAAAAGAAAAAAACGTTCAGGAAAATCTAAGCAATTCTCAAGCAGTTTTCTGGAATTGCAACACTAAAATAAGATTAGGAAACGCAAAACGGATTTACAAATTATTGACACGCAGCTATAAAAGGAAAACGTTTCCATGGCAGCAATGAAAACATTCGACAGGATACTCGTACACCTGAGTGGTCAGTCCATCTCAGTGCTGCACCTCCATTTAGCTCAAAAGTTGTGAATTTTGAAGAAATCTTAAAACATCCAATATTTTTGCTAATCCTTATCAACTACGCAGGAACGATTGGTCCGATTTAGCGTCGTAGCATCCTCTTTCATACAGCGTCTGGAAATATGTGGTATCCATATAAACCTTTCAAGCATATAATGTGTATAACGTTTAGACATTCCCATTTTATAATACTTTGTTCTCAACAAAACACAAGACCTATGCCAAACATTGTAAAGTCGAATTACTTCCAGAAAACACAGAAAACGACTGCATGTTCTGTCACCACTTACACTAAAACGTATTTTATTTATTCAAAATTGGCTGCACCTCTGACAGGTCAGAGTTAGAAACTCAGTATGCACGGCATACACACGAAATGAAAACCTTGTGTGACTTTGCTTGTGTCTTTATTTACGCTGGCACGAGGGACGCCCCGGACGGGACGCCATTTGACCAGAGGTTGTGGGGCGAAAGCGGCTCAGAAGAGAGAAATGACAGTGATGGAGGGGGCAAAGATAGAGGAATGACAGGTAATCCATCAGGAGGATGACTGTCATTATTCAATTACCACCCATCCTTAGCTCTCTTGATAGCCACACACACATACATCTCTACTCTCACACATTTGCAGTGTGAATTTGCAGTGGGCTGTGTGTGTGTGTGTGTGTGGGGGGGGATCCCCTTACATGAGGTGGGTGAGTGCTCCGTGGGTGGCGAGGTGAAGCAGGATATGGGGCTTGGCTCCAGTTTCTTATTCGCTTTTAGTGCAACAGACCCTTAAATCTCTGGTCCTCCTTCCTACATCTCTCATCTCCATTCCTTCCCTCTTCCCATTGCCTTTCACATCTAACCCATTCACCATGCTTCCTTCATTCCCTTCCTCGTCTCGTTCCACACAGTTCATTCAGGCTCCTTAGCCCCTGAGATGATAAGGGACATAGAGAATGATTAGATACCAGTGACACCAGGCTTATCACTCCACTCCCACACTGCTCTCCAGATCCTTTTGCATTATGAAAACCAAGCAAAGCAAGAAAACACACACACTTCATATTCATATTTTGAGTGAAACTCTGCAACCCTCAGGCGTGTGTTTTAGCCGTCAGCAACATTTTTTTTTCTTGCTTCTGAGTTCAAAGTAAGTAGCTACTCCAGACAGATGCAGGAAGCTCCGATGTTGAAGAGAAATTCCCCAAAGGTGACCAACCTTTTATTTACCTCGTAGAGTCATGATAATTTTTAGGTAGAAGATTTCTTATGATCAAATCTTACAACATACATTTTATGAAGATGGGAAGTGAAATTATTGGACTTATATGTTATTAGTTAGTCTGTCAAATTGTATTTTTTATCTTCAGAAATAACCATTATTTCTGCAAACATCCTTTCTTCCCCACTTCTTATCATCTGTTAGACTCCCATTGCCTCATTCAGTCCATATTGGTCACACTTCCAAATATCCACCAATTAAAGTCGGAGAAAGAGGAACGTTTAAGAGATTTTTTCACTGGCATTTACCTTCCTGGTGTTTCACTCAGTTCGACACTTCTCCCTTCGCAGTAGAGGATGGCTGTTCATAATGTGGGAGATTTCCGGTGAGATTCACGTCGTTGCAATCGAGCTAGCGCATTACATCCGTTACAAACTTTAGCTACTGGAAAAATTAGATCCAATCGTTTAAAACTTCAACAAAGTCCACGTCTTTTTACCAGGCTAATCATCTGTGCTCTCCTCTTTCTTTCTTTCTTTCTCTATGCAAACTTCTTTCTCTGCATTTCTTGCCTTGCCTTTATCCATTGAATGTATTTCCTTCTTTCTTCTCTTGTCCTCATGGTAACCGCGGCCCGCCCACTTTCCTCATCCGTTACTGGGTCCTCTCATCTTTTCGCCATCTTTTTTTATGTTTATCCACTTTTTCCCCCTAACTTTTGCATTCATCTTTTCCTCTCCTCATCTCAAATTCTCTGCTCCTCTTGATCTTTTTCTTTTCATTAACGTTCTCTCAGAGCCGTATGCAGATCCTTTTGAAGTACCCACACAACAAGTACTAGCAAGTAACAGCGACTCGTTTTAGTCGGAATAAAATTATGTTCATACATGTCAAAAGATTAGGATGATTAGGTCTAACATTAGAGTGCAAGCTGCTTGTTACAGTTTTAATTGGATTAAATATTCAAAATTTTAAATGACTCTAGTTGCGTTGCAGGCTATTAGATTTATCTCAGGACAATTAGACGATGAAATTGAATCCAGTATTTTTAGATCTTTTGTTAAATATTTAATCATGTTGAGCCGAAGTATTTGAAGGAAAATAAATTAATAAATGAATAAAAAAAACTGTACTTATTAACTGATTTTCATTTTTTAATGCTTCCCCAAATAATGCTGGACTATTTCACATCTTTTCTGATTACAACAACAAACTTCTATGCATGTTATTTAGAGGTTGTTTTTTGTTTTTTGAGCTAAGAAAAGATTGAGAGTGGAAAAAGTGTGAATTAGAGGAAAATAAAAATAAAAACCTGAAAAGTTTGGTCCACATTTGCATTCAGGGCTCTCTACTCTGATATCCATAAACAGAACTGATGCAACAAATAGCCTTTTATATTGCCTAATTAGGACATAGTCCCATCCTGTTTGTGTTTTAATCTTGTTATTAATGCAACATTAAGGCCTCAGAGAACATTAGTGAACAAACAGCCTACCAAGCACACTCTTTAAAAAAAGTTAAATTGATCCACACTGGCAGTCTCATGCTTTTGTTATGATTTTCTTGTTTTGAAAGTAAAATTGATGCATTTTAGGCAATTCTGAAAAATAAACTCTTTCAGAGGCTACAAAAACCAGGGGTTGTCACTTTTGAATTTTCAACCAGACCTACTATGTAGTCGGTTTAGATCAAAGCCTTGCAAAGACGCTGGAAAAAAAAAAAAAGTCCAAACTTTAACCCGGTTAAAAATCTACGCAAAGACTTTCAAATTACCATACACACACACACACACGCACTCACACACACACTCTCAGTCCCATCTAGCTAAGCTTCTTCAAAGAAGAAAGGGAAATAGGTTGATTCTCCACACCCAGAAATGCGTTGACTCAGAGCTACTGACACGTAAAACTTTTTGTGAGTCGTAAAAAAAAATTGTGAAAACTTTCACAACTCGCTCCTTAATGTTGATTCGGTCACATAAAATCCCAATATAAATACGCTGAAAAGGAAAAGTTGCACAAATGGATGCTGTATCCATTTAGGACACACACACACACACACACACACACACAGTCAGAATAACATTTAACATCTATAGTTTCCCCGAGTTCCCAGTGAGATCCATTAATTCTGTGTCCCTTG